GAGCCGCCCCCGGCCCGCGCCGCGCTCTCCCGCCGGGGCCTCCGCCTTCCTCCCCCCTCCATTTCCCTGGAATCTCAGCGCGGCACGCCTGCACCCCGGCGCTCCTCTGGGTGGGGAAGCTCCCGGCCGCTTGCTGGCTTCACTCCTTCCTCGCAGCCGGGGCTCCCAGCCCCCTCGCTTCTTTTCCTGGACTGGGTCCCACCCGCTTCGGTCTCCTTCCTTTAGCTCAGGTTCCCTGCTTCTTCCCGTAGTCCCCGCTCCTCAGTCACTTGCTCAGCCCAGGTCCCAGCCTCCCCGCTTCCTTTTCCTTGCAACCCATCCTCTCCCTTCCTCTGTCCTAGGCGCAGTCCGGTCCCCACCCTCCGCTCCCCTGGCCTGGAGGCCCAGACCTTGCGGTCTCCAGCTGTGGTCCTTCCTGGGTCCCTGTCCTTCTTGCTCAGCTTGGAGTTCTAGATCGAGAACCCAGCCTCCCTCCACCCCCAGAGGACTGCTTCCACACAAAAAGACCTCTCTAGAACATGAACTTTCCCTAGAGACTACCCCAGTCTCTCTTCCCACCCGCTGACCCCCTTGCCACCTATGTCCCAGGTCTTACTCTCACTTTGCTAAGGGTCAAGGCCTACTGGGCTGAGGGAGGGAGGATGCTTCTGTGGTCTGGCGTCTGGGGTCCCTCTCTGCCTCGAGTCTTCTCTTCCTTGCTCGTGGTCGTAGCCTTGGTGGGGCTACTGCCTGTTCTCAGGAGCCATGGCCTCCAGCACAGTCCTACCGCCAGCACCATCCGAGGCTCAGAGCCGCCACGGGAACGCTCAATTGGGGATGTCACCACGGCCCCACCGGATTTCACCCCCGAGAGCCACCCTGTCAACCATTCCATCACTGAGCACAGCCCGAAGACGCGAAAGCCCTTTCCAGTCCTGGGCATCGACTACCCACACGTGCAGACACCCTTCGAGATCTCCCTCTGGATCCTGCTGGCCTGCCTCATGAAGATAGGTGAGTCTGGTTTGCTCTCATGCGTCTGCTGCCACCAAACTGGTGAGCTTCTGGCCCCATCCTTACCACTCGAGGCAGGAATAAAGGTCTGGGCTCCTGTAATGTAGGCCGCCTCCATCCTGCCATCTTGGTCCTTCTCAAGCTTGAGCTGTGTGGCCTCCGTGGGCTGAGGCCTCCCAAGATTAGGACCAGCATTGTGCATGGGAAAGGACAGGATCAGAGCATGAGATGCTTCCGATACGAGGAACTTTCAGCAAGACTACCAGGCCTGGCAAGTCTCTGGCTGGACCAGACCCCAAGGGGAGCCAGGCACCCAGCTGTGTGTAAGGCAAAGAGAAAGTGTCTTCCCGCAAGGGGCACAGCCTGCTCTGTCAACAGCAACCAGTGCAATTAAATGCTGCATGGGAGGGTTTCCCAGGGTGGAGTATATTTCTACTTTGCCTAGCCAAGGAGTTTGATTATAGTGGGGGAGGAGGACGGTCAGTCCGCGTGCTGGAGACCTAGAAGTGTGGTAGAACATGAGGAATCCCAATATTTTCAACATTTTCCCTGGAATATTATCTATCAGCTTTTGCTTGCCCTGCCTGCTGAGGAGCCCCTGAATCAGTTTGTGGCCTAGGACTGCTATTCTTTAAGTTTATGGGACAGGGGGCCCTGGAATTTCTGTAGTTTGTTTTGGGTGTGGAGGGGAGTGGAGGCGGTTGAAGCTTGGTCTGGCCCCAGCTCACTTCCAGATTGGCACCTGGCTAGGTCTCAGGGCGGTGTCTGAGCTGGCCAGTCACATTGGCCTGCTGCTCCACCAAGTGGGAGAGGGACAGGTGGAGGGGTTCAGGATGTTCTGGTCTGAGGAGACTTTGAAATGTTCTTTATGGGAGAAGAGGAAACAGAAAAGTTGTTCCCTCCCCGAGGGTTGGTCTCCCTGCTAGGCCTGAGCACTCCGTTCTGCTGGGTGATGGATGGAGCTCACCAGAGCCTGCATAGCTCAAAAGTCCCTGGAAGGGGGAGGGGGGCACTTTAAGAGCTGCCTTTGCGTTTTTAGCCCCAGCTGTAGAAGGCATGAGGGCCTGGTACTCCGGTGGTTTGGGTTTGGGGAGTTTGTGACTCTTGGCAGGAAGCCTTGCAGCTTTTCCAAGGACAAGCAGGAGCTGAGTGGCAATGCTAGGCTGGTGTGAGGCAGACTCTGGGACATGCTGCAGGAAGGCGCTCTGTTTTGACACATCCCGGATGGAGCTTGCTTCCTGTGACAGTAGCAGGGCCTGGCCTATTCATGGACCTGGGCCATTGGCACGTATACCCTGATGGAAGCCAGTTTCCTGGAAAAAAATCAAGGACTGGGCAAGGGGAGCCATGTGTACTGATTCTGACAAATAACATGACCTTGAACAAGCTGGGTCCTTTTTCTGCAGGTCTCGCCCACCTGCAAAACTGGCAAGAATCTAAATTTGACCATATCAATCCAGTCATGAAACCTATGTTTTAATTTGTTGTAAGAAACTGAAGTGACCATGATGTGTCATTTACTTGTGTGAGACCAGGAAGAGACCTCACAAGCGCTGTCTATAAACTGCCCTCCTCTCTCCAACCGCCTCTCCTTTCAACCACACCTGCCATGGTGTTAGGGCACCGGGGACGGGTACACACATTGCAGGTCTCAGTGACTTCTGGTGGGATGACAGCATGACCACAGAGATCCTACTGTGGGCAGTCAGGATTTGCCCATATAGGCCTGATAGCTCTGGTTCTAATGGGGTCAGACTTGGCCTGCTTTGTCCCCACCAGAACCTGTGCCAGGGACCCTGGGGAGCAGGAGAACAGGGATGGTGCCATGGCAGGGGCATTAGTCTAGAGGTTAGGAAACTTGGCTTCTCATCCCACCTCTCTGTGTGACCTTGGACCAGTCACCCATCTCCACTTGTTAATTGACCTATGTGGCCCTTTCTGGCCATTTCTGCCATTTCACTGATGTAGGTAACCCTGGCAAGTCACTGAACTTTGGGACCTCAGTTTTCCTGTTGTAAAATGAGGAGGTTGGATATGATCTCTGAAGGCCTCACAGTTCCAGAAGCCTGTGTTTCTGGCTTTGGAGGACATTTTTCCGTGTCTGAAAACAGGCGTCCTAGCATCTGGCTATCCTGGGAAGGAAATAGAGAGCAATGTGACCGAAAGTGGAAGCCCATGTTTTCCCTTTCCCTTTGCAGTGCAGAATTGAGGTTAGATAAGGGCTCCACCACTTTTCCACTTACCTCTCTGTGCCTCGGTTTCCTCTTGTATAAAATGGGGGAATAACATCTAGCCATAGTGCTACTGATGTGCTGATGACATAAATTAATGCACATAAAGTTGTCTTTGTACCCACAGGAAGCACTCGGTGAGTGGCAACTGCTCCTGTTGGTATTTTAACCACCTAAGGGCATCCCCACCTCAGCCTCCTACAACATCCTTTGAGGCTGGAGGATTACAAATCTCAACCCTAGGCTGCCACAGGGTGTCAGGGTTTGGGGTGTGTCCTGCTGACTTTGTTTTCCTTTCACTTAAGCTGTCTCCTGGAGCTAGTCCTGGTGGGAGGGGAGCTGGCACCCACTGACTTAGGAGATAGGGTTGGGGGTGAGGCCATGCTCCCTCTGCACTACCCAAGAACCTTGGAGTTCATTTTGGGGTCTTGCCTATTCTCTCAGAGCCCCAGTGTGGGTAGCAGCTATGTTGGAGCCCTCATTCTGTCATCTGCTTCCCTTGCAAGGTGCCCCTCCTTTCAGAATAGAAAGTGCTGTATGCAGTTCTCATTCCTACCCTAGTCGTTGAGCAGAGCTTTAGGTAGACAGAGATGGGTGTGGGAGGGGCGGGGTTGGAGCTGAAGTTTTAGAGTAGATGTTCTGGCTTCTCTAACTGATTCAGTGGGTGAGTGGGCAAGTCACTTCCCTTCTCTGGCCTGTTTCTCTCTGCAATAGTCAGGCATTCTTGCCTTTTCCTCGGTGGGGCGGGCTAGTGGCGGGAGGGTGTTTAAATGACTGCAGGAAGTAGGAGAGTGACCCCAAGCCTTAGTTAGGTCCATTCTCCACGCCCACCACACATGGTGATTTGGACCCTGCATGAATTCTGCTTTGTCCCAAGTTCACCTGGCTCCCAGTCCAGTGCTTGTGCCAAGGCAGAGCCTCCCTGTAACCCAGCTCACCACTGGCACCCACTGCCTTTGTTTGTCCACGTTCCTGACCCGGAACTCCTGGCAGAGGCCTGGGAGCCCAGAAAGCAGGTATTCATGTTGTCTCCTGACCAGAGGCAGAAAAGCCTTCCTTTGTCCCTTTACATCTTATAGCTTGTTTTGGTCTTTGCAAGGTGTCCCCTGACATTTACTCTTAGAACACGTCTGTGAGTAGAGGAGAATGGGAGTCATTATTGCCCACTTCACATGTGTGGCTATCAGAGCCAGCAACTGGTTTCCTGTAAAAATAAGACTAGCACTCTCCTCTCCCACTTCTCAAAAGAAGAGAGGAACAACTTAAAGGTCACCTTGAAACTGTTACAAGAAGCCCGGATGGGACCTTTCTAAAAAGAAAGGTGACCTTTTGCTCTTCGGGAAAACAGCTGAGTGACTGCAGGACAGTGGAGGTCAACTGAGGACTAGGAGGAAGACTTCGAGTAGGACATGTGTCCCTAGAAGTGCCAGGGTTGGTGTGAGAGGGCCCGAGTTGGCCATTCTGCTTGGAGTTCCTTTAGCTGAGCACCCACGCGGCACGCCTTTCCTCCCGGCCCTGCCCCACCCACCCCTCCAGCTCTGGTGGCAAGGAGAGACATGGTCAGCAAGCCTGGGCCAGGCCCTTGTTCCTCGGAACCCGGCTTGCCTCATCAGTGAGGTGGCATGCCATCTCTGCTTTCTAGGACCCATGTAGAGATTGAATGTGGGAATGCCCAGCACAGTGCCCAGCTCGCTGTGGCAGCTCTCGGGGCCTGTTCCGATTCATCCCCTTTGGGCGGTCTTCCCAGCCCACTCCCAGCCCACAGCAGTTGCTTTCACTTCTCCCCCTGAACCCATCTCCCTTATCTCACTTATTGTTTATCCGAAGCTTTGGCATTAGGCCTAGCCTGCCCTGTGACATCTCTTCTGGTGTGTGTGTGTGTGTGTGTGTGTGTGTGTGTGTGTGTTTAAATAAGAGTAACCATTTATTGAGTATCTACAGAGTAGAGTTGGACACTTTATAAAAGTGATCTCATTTAATCCCTACTAAAATCATATGAGATAAAGGCTCTCTGTTTGGCAGATGAGGAAACAGCTCAAAGAGGTTATCTGCTGTGATGCTGAATTGCTCTTTATTTTCTGTTTGAGTCTTGGCATAGCCTCCTCAAGGGGTACAGTTACATCTGCCCCTCACATTCCCCTTGGCAGATGCACACGGCCCTGCACTGAGTAGGTGCCCAGTTCACTACACCTGCCCTGGGCGGTTGTAGGACTCTCTTTAGGGATCAGGCAGATGTCAATGGTGGGAGCCCTCTCCCCGCCCTGAGAAAACTGTAAGGGTTCTCCGTACTGGCGTTGGACCCATTCTCCGTCCGTATGACTCCAAATGGGTGCAGCTGAGGCTGGGCCTGTCCCTTGTCCTCTGGTAGTGACCTTGCCATCTCTTAGCTGGTGCCCTCTCGGTAGTCTGACTGCTTCTTCCCTGCTTGGGCAGGAGGGATTTCCGTTAAAGGGTGGTTGTCTTTATCCAGCAGCGGGTGGCTAACCTGCTGTGAACTCCTGCTTGGGCAGAAAGGGTGCTGGGTTGCTTTTGCTCACCCTCAGGGCTCAGCAAGATCCCTGGGAGACAGCTCTGTGTTGGCATCAGGTGGCACGGCTTTCTTTATCCCTAAGAGGCAGGTGGAATTTAGTAGTAATTCTTATGGGTACTGTAATTTGCGTATCCGGTATTTAATTCTGGTCATCTCAGTGAAGGTCCTGTGGGTTAGAGTAGCAGGTGATATTGGTGTACCCGTCCCCTTTCCTGCCGACTGACATTGGCTCATTGAGA